TGCTGTGGCATTGTTTTTTTTTTCTCCCCCAGACACATATGATCTGTGCTACAGACACCATCCCCTTCCTGAGGTTACAGAGAAACCAGGTACTCGGGTCTCCACAGCATGGGCCCAATCTCCAGCCAAGACAGAAAATGCTAATGACCAATCTAGTAGCCATCAACTCAAGACTGCTCTGAGCAGGAATGGCTAGGAAGAAACTTCCCCCCAAAGGCATCGTTCCTTAATAGAACATGACTGATCTGGGTCTGAGAAGCCAGGCCTGTGTGGCTTCTTAGCTGTGTTGGCGTGGGCAAGTGACAGGGCCTGTGTCGGCTCTTTGGCTTCATCATTCAAAAAAAAAAAAAAAAAAACGGTATCGGTAGAATGACACTAATAACACTTAGTAGTGTGGTTGACACCGACTAAAGAAGGAAGACTGGGAAGTTGTTTCAGTCAGTAAGGTGTTTGCCATGCCAGCATGAAGACCTGAGTTCAATCCCCAGAACCCACATTTACAAACAGCAACAAACAAAGTAGCCTTGGTAGCACGTTTGTAATCCCAGCCCTGGAGAGGCAGACCTCACTGGCTAGCCAGCCGAGCCTGATGAGTGAACTGCAGGTTCAGAGAAAGACCTCTTGGGAAAACAAGGTCATTAGCTCCTGAGAAATGACGTCAGAAGCTGAGCTCTGGCCTCCACATGCATACAAGTGGTGTGTGTTCATGTGAGGGCAAACACCCCAGGGAATTCATAAATGTGGGAGTTCTATAAATGGTAACAATATTTACATTTTAATTTCCAAAACAGTGCTTTGTACAAAATTAGAGGTAATAAATATTCATGGAGGGAACAGGAGCTCCACAAGGAGAGCAACAGAACCAAGAAATCTGGCACAGGGGTCTTTTCTGAGACTGATACTCCAACCAAGGACCATGCATGGAGATAACCTAGAACCCCTGCACAGATGTAGCCCATGGCAGCTCAGTCTCCAAGTGCATTCCCTAGTAAGGGGAACAGGGACTGTCTCTGACATGAACTCAGTGGCTGGTTCTTTGATCACCTCCCCCTGATGGGGGAGCAGCCTTACCAGGCCACAGAGGAAGACAGTGCAGCCAATCCTGATGAGACCTGATAGGATAGGGTCTGGTGGAGGTGGGAAGGACCACCCCTATCAGTGGACTTAGAGAGGGGATGGGAGGAGAGGAGGGAGGGTGGGGTTGGGAGGGAATGAGGGAGGGGGCTACAGCTGGGATACAAAGTGAATAAACTGTAATTAATATAAAAAAATTAAAATTAAAAAAATATTCATGGAAAAGAAGGCTGTGAAATGGAGAGAAGGAGAAGAGGAAACGTGAAAAAAAGAAAAGAAGAAAAAATTCCGGTTTTGCACTGTTACAAATCCTTACAGATATTTTCCTCCTTTTCCTTGGTAACTTTCTGATTATAACATATATTTATTGGAACTTTTTTAAGCCCATGGACTAGCAACTCCATGTCTACAAGGCAGGACCACGCCCTGCAGGTCACAGGTATCGAGTCACCATTGTCGCTCTGCTGTCTGCTATGGTATTATCCCCCTTGCCTCCTGGTCTCTGCAAAGCCTTGTCACCTCTACTGACACCTAGGAGCTCGGGTCCGCTGGCAGCCTCCGCTGGCCCACAGAACACAGTAGTCGTGCACTTTTCTGGGCGTGGGCTTGCCCTTCGCCAAGGCAGCTGGTGTTTCTTGGGTAAAGAGAGGGTCTTCTGAACCTCTCAGGTGAACACAGACAGCTAGCAGGTCATCTGGTCCTATGGAATAAGCCCATCCTACACAGGCTCGTCTCTGGGGCCTCAGTACCCTGCCAGTGTAGTTAAAAGTTTCTTCTCTCCAGTGACGGAAGCCATGATTTCCCCCAACCTTGCAGGAGCCATGCAACAGCACACCAGGACAAGATCCAGATCTTAGCCACACTCACACATCCTGAATCCTCCTCCATGCGCGTGTAGTCTCATCCCGCTCTTCCCGGTCCACACCTGTTGCCCAGTGCCTTCTACCCATTAACTCCCATCACCCAGTAACTCCTTCAGCAGAGACCTTCATCCGTCCTTACCAGACAGCACAAACCTTTCCCCTAGTTATCATCTAGAGCAGTGATTCCTCACCTCCCTAACGCTGTGCCCTTTAACACAGTTCCTCATGTCGTGGTGACCCCCACCCAACCGTAAAATTATTTCTGCTGCTACTTCATAGCTGTAATTTTGCTACTGTTATGAATCGTAATGTAAATATGTATGTTTTCCAACTGTCCTAGGTGACCCCTGTGAAAGGGTCATTCGACCCTAATGGGGTCACCACCCATTGGTTGAGAATTGGTGATCTAGACTCTATGGGGTTGTAGCTCATTTGATAAAGTACTTGTCTGGTTGACACAAGACCCTGGGTTCAACATTTGGCACCATAAAAATGGGTGTGAAGGTACACACCTAAAACCCCAGCCTTAGGAGGCAGAGGTGGGAAGAGAGGACACTAGCAGAGAAGGCAGTATCATAAAATAGCACCCTCCTTAGGTCCTCTACGTGGTCTCCTGCCCAGGGAAGTGAGCCCTCCTCTAGGGAGGAGGAGCCAGCAGGTGCCTCTGCAGGAGGCCCCCAAGTACATCTACCTGCTTGCTCCCATTCTAGGCTCTTCCCTTCCCTCTGAGTGTCTTCCCTTTTCCTATTAGGACCATGAGTAAGAACAAAACCTGTCCGTGGTGGCAGAGTCAGCCTTTTCAGGGACTGCACTGTTCTCCCAGTTAGATCATAGATCTGCTTTCCAGCTTTGCCTCTTCCAAAGCCCCTTCCACACCATGGCCCAGAGGTCTTCGATTGTGCTATAATCAACTAAGGCCACAGACCTTGGAACTACTGTTATCCTGCCTTCAGATGCTCAAGCATTCTAGTTGTGGCATTAATGGGCACCACAGAAGTCCCCACTGTGGAAATGTGAGTTGTTGTGATACTGCAGCCTGCGTGTTGTCCTGACTGCCACATTCCTGTCTGCTGCACTGTAGCTGAAACTCCCCAAACACGGCCATGCAGCCCTTCCCACTACCCCTGGATCCACTCCTCACCCTCCTTCAACCTACTCTCTAGAAGACCAGCATTTATGGAGGACCCAATCAATGGGTTTCCTCAGTCTCCCCTTTCCCACTTGATTCAAGGTGATGGAAATCAAGTTAGGTTGGGATACCCCCCGTCTTCCCATGCCACAGTTTGGCAAACAGCTGCAGCATCCTTACAAAGAGCCACAGCTCCTGTTGGGCACTCACCCCTCTCCTGTGCTTCCTGTGGTATTTGGTGATCACACCCTTTCCCATCACAGCACCCTAAGGTTGACCAGTACTCCCAAAGCCCAAGCGTGTCACCCCATCTTGTTAGTTCCTTCAACTCTGGGTCAAATATATCATTTAATTCCTGCCAGAATTCTTGCTACTAAAGCTGTGCCCATCTTTCTGGAAACTGTGGCAAGAGGAATGCCCCTAGAAAACCCAGAGGAAGGCAACTGAAATGGAAGGAGACCCCTGAGCCATCTGTGACCAGAATGGATACCCTGAAGAGACCCAGCCACTCCATGCCTTTCTGTGCAGCAACTCCCTCTCCTACCAACACACCTACTACTGTGGAGCGGGTGGCTTTTGCTCAAGTCCTCTGTCCCCAGACATTCACCTCAGCATCCTAGGGTTTAACAACCAATCTCAGCCTTTGCTCTGTAGAGTCTCACGGACTCATTAATTCCTCCTTCAAGGAGCACTCAGGCCTCCCAGCTTCAACCTGACGGCAGCTACAGATGACAGGACCCCGGGATGCAGGCTACCATGAGTCATTTGTGTCCCTCACTAAATATGACTCCAAAATTAATGCTTCAATCAAAAGAACCTCAACGTTCCAAGTGCCTTTATTGTCACACCAAGTAAAATAAAATGAAAGGGCTTTTCTGAAAGACTGTGTGAACTCGGATGACGGGGAACACACTTTATTGCCATCAGTGTAGATGCTCCTGGCATATTATAAAAAAGAAAAAAAAGAACAAAGTTAAGCTCAAACCCACAAATGCCAAAAGCAAAAACAGTTGTATGATATTGGAGTTTAGAAAAAAAAAAAAAAGGTCACAGAATCAGCTGCTGTAAGGTTTTGGAAAAAGCAAGCACCGGAGGACCACAATGGCCTCCTTTAAGCCAGCAGGGCAGTCTTTCCCTCCACAAACACTCATGTTTCTGAAACTAAGAAATTGCCGTTTAGGTTTAAGGTATACTACAGAGGGACTGGTCACGTCACTGTGGCTGCGGGAGAACACTCAAAGCATGAATTTACTCTCTGGTGTTTTTAAACCTAAATGATAGTTCCTAATTGCATTCTGTGAGCTTTTGTTTTCTTTAAATTTTGTTTTATTTTGTTTTGTTCCTTAACTGGCAAGTGGACCCTTCAGTAAGGATCCTATGGGAACTTAGAGAATATTTTTTTGCCTGGAAGAGCAATCAGCCACATCAAAACACCTTCTCTGCAACAGTCTGGGCTGCCTTTGCCTCTTGTTTAGGTAATCACTCAGCACTCAGTTGAAAGGGAAGTGGAGCCCTCTCTAAGAACACTGGAAGCTCGGTGTCCTTTTGAGCAAGGAAGAAAGTGTTTTGGTTTTGATCAGACTCTGTCCTTTAATCATAAATCCAGTTGGAGTTCAATGGCAGAATGGGGCAATTTAAAGGCTTTCT